GCTCTTGTCATGCTGATCCTTAAAGCGAACTCGCCTGAGCTGTGCGTCACCGTATCTATACGGACGGCTGTGCACCTTGCCCCATACCCATTCTTTTACACATCCACGAATCAATCCTCTCACTACACCATTCAATTTCACAGCTTATTGACAAGGCTGTGAGGGCCAGGAGGCGCAAAGCACAGACCAAACCCATTGGTTGATGCCTCAAGTGTAAGAAGCGGCACGCCAAGTTACCATGCCTCCCTTCTCGCACCTAAATCCTCATCTTGATGCTTGAGGGGGTCTTCAGCTTACCTTATCTCGTCTTTCCAGCCGGCCGGCGGTCAGTGGAAAATGGTCATCCCCCCCGATGCGACCAGTGCCCTCGAGCCAAATTCCCGTGCAGCTTTTGACGTCCAGTCTGCCAGTCGCACCTCTCAATGATGATAGCCTAGTCCATCTGGGACTTATTGATCATTGATTGACATTGCTTTGCCGTCCTAAGCGACGAATCACGTTCTAGCCTGGGTTAGAGTTCGATATCTTTTGCTCAGACTTCTCAAATTTTTACTAGCTGGCTAGTATACTCGCCCTCATAATTCTGTATGCGTCTAGCGTTACTAGTGTTAATCTGGTATGTAGAGGGCCGTTACTTACCAACAGGTTGCAATTGGCCGGGTTAAGGCACATTCCAAGACCCTCGCGGAACGCCTCATCAAGACCTGCTAGACTTCTCCGCCTTCACGTCCACATACGCAATAGCGGGCTTTTGGTGCGATCCACTAAAATCCACGGAACTTCTACGGGTTCTCCGAATCAGCTGGTATTCCTTGGCGTTCATGCCTCACGAGGTCGTTCCAATCACAATTGGGATGCATTATTCAGCTGTATCGGGTGTCAAAAGGCGTGTCCCATGGCAATGAAGCCTGTAATTAATCTGAAGGGCCGGGTCTGAGCACGTGGCTGTATCGGAGAGGTGGCAAGATGCCTGCTTTATGCCGGTGTGCAACCTCATTGCTGGACGAAGCGCTGCTTCCTTGCCGCCACCTCTTCATTCCTCGAACCTCTTGCTTTGGGGAGGATGTCAACCGGGACATCCTCGTCCTCGCTTTCGTCTTGTGCTGTAGTAGCAGCCTATTGAACTGCCTGTTTTTCAATAACTGATTATAACTGATTATGGCCTAGAGGAATCCGAAAGCTACGTTTCGCCTGGAGGTTCGTCAGCTTGTCAAACAGCTGAAAGTTTGATCTCCAGCCTCCCTTCACCCCCTGCCTCTGACACTGCCGCCTGTTGTAGCTTTTGCTATCTCTGATGTGTGCTTCAATGAGCGGCATGCATTAGTCCTGATTCATGTGACGCAGTGCGACAAGCTATCTCATGACCTGTCAGAGTGGTCGCGGCTGTGATAATACAAGTTCAGGCCCTTATAGCACAGTGGTAGTGCGTTGCACTTGTAGGTTGAAGGTCCAGCACCCGAGTCCAGAGATGCAAAGGTCACTGGTTCAATCCCAGTTGGGGGCACACCCTCAATGCTGACACTTTTGTTTTTGTGCTCGTGTTCAATGCAAGGCCCACTCGCCCCTCCGTCAACGACTGTTAAATAACGCAAAATTTACACTCTCTGCCACAAGTATCAAATCTCTTAGTAATGCTGTTTGGAGGCCTTTGTTAGAGCAGCTGTGTTTGTAAATAATGCCTGGGCGATGGATGCCAGTTTCGACTTTACTTACAACTCCAGCTTTAGCCACTCCACAAGCACACAGCCCAAGCTTCGTGGGTACGGATGATGGTAAGCGGTAGGTCTTGCTGCATTTTCTCTCAGCTCGACCATTATATCAAGGCGACAACATACGCTGTACATGATTCCAGTTTTTCTCCACATATTTCAATGAAGCCCCATTTCATGGTTGGGGGTTAAATCTGTCAGTGGAATAGGTGTTGGCTTATACCCTTCGTGAATGTAGCTTAAATGCATCCCATCATTTACTGAATAAGTATTCTTGGCTTTGTTGGCGGATGCGCACAAGTGCACTTGCGGCCGCACGGGAGCTACCCCCATATTCAACGCGCGTCCATGATCCTCGCGAGCACACATTGATGTTACAAGCAAGCGATATCACTGGCAGCGAGCCGGCTATCGACACACGAGGCCATTGTGCATACAGTAAGGCTAAGAATGATCCTCGAGGCGTGGCAGTTGCATCTTACATGAAGGTGCTACGATATGAAACCGGTCTTCGTCTGCAGGCAACTGTCTCTCGTAAGATTTCCTTCCAAAACCGCTTTTCACCAAAGTCAAACAGGCGTTGCACTCTTTCAAACCTGCCAGTAATATTGCATTTGTGAATCAGAATTACACCATAGGTAATAGGCTCATCTGAGACAAAAGAAGTAATCTTGCACAAAGATATCGTCATGGCTAGAGGGGATGAACGCACTTCGCAAAATATGACAGGCATATGTACATAAGACTAACCGAGTATGAATCAAAATCACTAAATTTTCGTATTAGCGACTTGTTAATGAAGCTTCAGTCATCAGAATATTGATCAAAAATCACGATGAAAGAACAATTATGTTGAAGGAATGACATTAATGTATTACATTGTTGTGCATATGCTGTGCTTGCTGATGTGACGTCTCGCGTGAATATCCAAAACTAGCTCCTGTTCGTATGCTCATCCTCCTCTATGCGTGCGGTCTCCTGTATCACTGAACCCTCTGCGGTAGCAGAAGGCGGCTTTGTCGGACAGCCATGTCCCAAAAGGCGAAAAGCTTTAAGGGAGGGCCTGGACGGGGTAGCTCTGGTTTGGGCTTTGACAACGACAGCCTTGGCGAGCTGCTTGTCGGTGTAGGCGGCTCAGACGATCTGCTTGCTGGAGCGGTTGACGACGGCCAGGGTGGTGAACCCGTTGACCTTCGCCGAAATTGGCCGGACCA